GAGAGAGACAAAGAGAGAGAGAAGCAGGCTCCCAAGGAGCAGGGAGCCCGATGCGGGACTCGATCCCAGGACCCTGGGATCATGACCTGAGCCGAAGGCAGACGCTTAACCATCTGAGCCACCCAGGCGCCCGGGAGGTTCTTGAAAGAACAGATGTCGGACTCTTGGACAAAGGCCATTCTTGCATATGTGCCCAGATGGGGGTTTTTCCTTCCCTGTTACCAAGACCTGCTAAAAGCCACCCTCCCCGCCTTGCTTCTGAGGCACCTAACTGCACTGGGTCTGCTTCCTCTCATCACAGCACAATTAAAAGTTGGGAGACATTAACGCCCCCGGCCGAAACAGTGAGATGAAGTGGGAAAGCACCCGGGGGAGCATTTACTATGGTGGGTGGAACCACGGGGCAGTCTGTTCCCCTTTGGACTTTTTCTGTAGACAAGGGCTAGGCTAGATCAGTGGTTTTCACACGATTTGGGGCTGTGGATCCCTTTATTCAAACAGAATGCAACGGGAAAAGCCCAAAGTTAAAAGAAAAAAAGATGCATCTGTATGTATCTCTAGATCTACATATCAAAGTCAAGCACTTGCAAGGCTTACGTTTCTCTCGTCTCTGTCCTTCCACAAAGGTGGGTTCACCCAATGTACCTTTTAGAGAAAATCAGAACTGTAAGCCCCACTGAGGACACGCGGGGCAGTTTAAAAACTGGTGGACCAGATGATCTGCGAAGTAGTGGCTTTCCGTTTTGTTGACTATGAATCAGACTACATTTTACATTGCAGCCCAGAACACAAACACACATGCACGCATGGGCAGAGAGAAACACGTCATCAAACAACACTTAACCTACTGCAATTCACCCTCAAATTACTATTTCATTTTTTTTCTTTTAATGCTGGTTGTGACTCAAGTACATTTACAATCCCTACTGGCTTTCAACCTGCATTCTCCCCAAACACTTCTGGGTCAGAGGAAGCCAGAGCCCTCTGCACACATGCTACCACTCTTGGGAATCTTGGGAGCATGTCAGTTCCTCCCTCCCCTGTTATTTTTATTATTTTATTTTTTTTAAGATTTTTTATTTGACACAGAGAGCACAAGCAGAGGGAGACGGGGGGAGAAGCGGGCTCCCTGCTGAGCAATGAGCCCGATGTGGGACTCGATCCCAGGACCCCAGGATCATGACCTGAGCCGAAGGCTGCCGCTTAACCGACTGAGCCACCCAGGCATCCCTCCTCCTCCCCTCTGATACACCTGAAATAAAAGGACATCTTGGCAAAAATCCCTTATGACATACTAGACAGATATATTCAGAAAAATACTGGGTTTGGGGCGCAAACAAGATACTACACTTCATACCAAGATGGTTATAATCAAATGACAACCAGTGCTGGTAAGGATGTGGAAAAATGAGAACCGTCATACACTGCTGGTGGGAATGTAGGATGGTGCAGCTGCTTTGGCATGGTCTACCAGTTTCTAAAAAAGTTAAGTCACCACATGACCCAACAACTCCACTCGGGGGTATATATACCCAAGAAAAACATGTCCACAAAACCTTATGTGCAAACGTTCTTAGCAGCTTTACCCATAAGAGCCTCGAAATAGAAACAGCCCAAATGCTCAGCTGATGAATGGATAAACAAGATGTGCTATATCCATACAGGGGAATATTATTTGGCAGTTAAAAAAATGAGGTACCATGGTGGAACCTTGAAACATTATGCTAAATGAAAGAAATCAGATACAAAAGGCCACACCTTATATGATGCCAAGGACATGTTCAGAATAGATGGATATAGTTGCCAGGGGGCTGGGGCTGAGGGATTGCCAGGAGAATGGCAAGTGACTGCTAATGGGCACGGAGTTTCTTTTTAGGGCAATGAAAATGTTCTCGAATAGTGGTGGTGGTTGCACAACCTCGCAAATGTATTAAATACCACTGAGTTGCATACTTTAAAATAGGAAACTTTATGCTGAGTTGTATCTAAAGAGCAAAAGGGAAGAAAACTGCATTGAATAGGGCTGTGACCGGTTCAAACCGCTCACAGGCACATAAACTGTCACCGCTAGAATGGATGCACGTCACAGAGCTGAGAAAATGGTAACTTCTCTTCATGCTATCATTGGATGGTATCAATACATTAAAAAAAAATCTTGAAAGCACTCTGAAGTGGATTCCACCATTATTTCCCTCATTCAGAAGAGGAAATGGCAGCACTTAGCTCACGTGTTAACTTGATCAAGGTTACACAGAAAGCTATGGTAGGAACCCGTCCACCCAGTGTTGTCCACTACAAATTGTTGTTTGCATATTTATATTCCTAGTAGGCAAATACTCAAGGGCAGCAATCATTGTCTTTTTTTTTTTTTTTTAAGAGAGGGGGAGAGCAGAGGGAAAGGGAGGGAGAGAATCCCAACCAGGCTCCCCGCCCAGCACCCAGTGCAGGGCTTGATCCCATGACCCTGAGATCATGAGCTGAGCCGAAACCAAGGGTTGGACGCTCAACTGAATGAACCACCCAGGGCTGCCCCCTTTATTCATTTTCTTTACCTCAAACCCAACCTAGTAGCACTTGGCAAGTATAGAGACAAGTCAGTTAAATTCATTCATCAAGTATTTGTGGTTCTGCTATGTATCAGGCACTGGCAACACAGTCATGAACAAGACCAAGTTCCTAGGGACCAAAAATGTATCATTTCAGGTACTAATAATTGCTCTACGTGAAAACAGAGAAGAGGGAGTTCAGGAAGACTGCCTGAGGAAATCAAGTAAGGAAACAAGCCACAAGATCAGGAGGCGGTATCTTCCAGGATGAGGGAAGGGTGGGAACAAAGGTCCTGAAAGAGAAATCAACTTTGATTGGTCAAAGGAGGAACAAGGTAGCAGGTACGGTGTGAGCAAGACTGAAGGGTGGTGATGAGGTTGCCAAAGCAGATTCAACCCAGCGCTGTCAGGTCTTGCAGGCCATAGGAAAGAATCTGGATTTTACTGAGGCAGGTTATTGGAGGGCTTTAAGCAGTACCATGACCTGGCTTGGCTCAGGTCACTGGGACTGGAATGGCCTTTGTGTGGCTCAGTGCTGGAGAGCAGACAATACTTCTGACAGTATTAACTCAATGCGCAGTCAATGAGGACGACAGGGACTGAGATAAGATGGGGATGAGGTCAGAAGACAGCAGTTAAAAATGTATTTTAGGGCGCCTGGGTGGCTCAGTTGGTTAAGCGACTGCCTTGGGCTCAGGTCATGATCCTGGAGTCCCGGGATCGAGTCCCCCATCGGACTCCCTGCTCAGCAGGGAGTCTGCTTCTCCCTCTGGCCCTCCCCCCTCTCATGTGCTCTCTCTCATTCTCTCTGTCGCAAATAAATAAAATCTAAAAAAAAAAAAAATGCTATTTTGGACATGTTCAATTCGTATCTCTTTTAGATATCCAAACTGGGTTATCAAGTAAGCAGCTGGATAGGTCAGGGGTAAGTTTAGACTGCAGCGAAACTTGACAAGTCAACAGAATGGTGACATTTAAAGTCAAGGAAGTGGGGATTAAATGTGTAGAGAAAGCCACCAAGGACAAAGACAACCTCCGTCACTTTGTGTTTGAAAGGAGCCAGTAGATATAAAAGGACCAGCTGGTGAGATAGGAGGAAAACCAGTGTTGCATCTGGAAGGTTCCAGCGTTGTCTCCTAGAACCCAAGTGAAGAAAGTGTTTTAACAAAGGAGTGAATGACTGAGCCAAATCCAGCCAAGGACCGGTAAAGGATCAAGAATTGATCATTCAGATTGGCAAAAGAGGGGCTATTGCTAACTTTGACGGGCAGCTCGTCAAGTGCAGGAATGAAAGCATACTGAAGGAACAGGAGAGTGAACACGTGCAGCGAACGAACGAATGGCAGGCTAGAGACGTACAAGGCCCCAGTGATGTTCACTGGTTTGCTCACATTGGAAGGGGTAAGTCATCAACAACCATTTTAGAAACTGGATATTCTGTGCTTTTCCTAAATCACAGAATTATAAAATCACAAGGAAGTCATGTGGAAGATGTGAAGACTTCCGTCGCGGCACACAGGTAAGATGCAGTTAGGGGTCAGACTACTTGAATTCACTTAGAGAAGCAGCTGCATTTAAGTTTGGCCTCCTTACAAATCACTCTAAAAACCTACCTATAAAAAAAACAGCCCCTTTGTGTCCATGCCCCTCAGATGAAAAATGTCCCACTAAGTCTTAAAATGTGTAGACATTTTCTGTTGGTTTTAGATGCCAGAAATTATAATCACATCAACTGCCCATGTGTCACCCTGCTCAGCTTGGATTCATGGTGTCAAATATTCCTTTACTTTTTTTTTTTTTTTTTTTAAATCAGAGAGAGTGAGCGAGCACAAGCAGGGGGAGTGGGAGAGGGAGAAGCAGGCTCCCCACAGAGCAGGGAGCCCGATGCGGGACTCGATCCCAGAACCCTGGGATCGTGACCTGAGCCGAAGGCAGACGCTTCACTGACTGAGCCACCCAGGCGTCCCTACACTTAACTTATGCTGCTATTTTACCTTCTACAAACCAACTCCAAGTTTCCTCAAGTCACTTTGCTTTGCTAAATCTTAAGTGCAAAAATGACTTGCTTGTCATTAAACACACACAACCTAAGAGGGAGGTTGCTCCAGTCATTCCTTAGCCTTCCTTCCCTCACTCCCTGGAATGTGCCAGGCTCTTTCTGCCTCTCAGGCCGTACACAGATCCTGCTCTGCTTGAAGTGCCTGGTTGACTTTGCCTTGTCTGTCGCGTATGTTCCAGTCGCACCATACACTCTCCCTTCATAGTACTTACCACATTATTAAAATAAAGACGGTAGAATAATTTCACCATCATTTATTTTCCTTGCCCAAACCTCACTGTGTCAAAGGTGCCACGGGTGTAAAAACATTAGGTTTAACTGTAAGATTTCGGGGGGGGGGGGGGGAGGTGGTTTCCTGCAGTATTGAGACGGTTAAGTAAAAGTGAGTGGCCAACGTTTTTAAATTTAGAAATTTATTCTGTTTAATCCACAAGCTTTATATAGCTTTAGTTTAAAAAAAAAACAAACAAAAAACAAAAACAGTGAAAACAAAGACACTATTTCAAAGTCTGGGCCCTTCCAGCCTTCCAAATACGAGAGCTCTGAAGGTTGTATATACCAATTGGAAGAACAAGACAAAATTATGAATGGAGCCATGACATTTCATAAAACAAACTTTTATATAACTGAAGGATCCTTCCTGGGACTAGTTAATTGCCTTTACAAAAAAAACACAACAGAATAGAATGAAATTCCAGTGTTCCAAATCAACTTGTTACACATCAATATAAACCCACAGTGTCCTGGCAAACAACATGCTTTCATTTTCCATCTCGTCCTAGAGCTCGAATCCTGATTCATTTCAGCAGAGACTCCACAGGCAACAGGAAAGATTGTGGCATTAAAATATTCATTTATACTTTTGTGGGAGTTCAACAGTGGTCTTATTTCTGGGCAAGCTTGCAAACCATACAAGGTTGGAAGCATCATAACTTAAATGGGTGCTAAGACTTAAATGAGAAAAAAGAAAAAGAAAAAATGAAAAGAAAGAAAACCTCTGGGAATAGCCAAGGCCTTTAAAGAAACCATAAGAATGCCAACAATATTGAAACCCCCTTTTTTAAAAAGGGGACTTTTTTTGGCTTAAAATATTTCAGTCTAAATGAATTTATGTCAGCTGTCAATGAAAGAATGTCACTAATACACTGTGGACACCTTTTGCAATGTAAATCCATGCCCTTTTTTTTTTTTACATGGTGAACTTCAACCTAGCAATTATTACAACAAATGTTATAGTCTAAAGCTCAAACACATTTTAGCAATTTTGAAATTGAATTGCGTACAAACCAAATAAAATGTACATCGTGACACACATTCCCGCCTAAGACTGTGGGGACACTTGAGCCTTCCGCATCGACCTCAGCGCCTTTTCACGCAGGTGCTTTTCTAAGTCGTCGAGGTTGTCTTCGGGCTCGCTTTCGGTCTCCTAAAACCAGAGGGGTCACATTGGTGAGTCCTGAGACTGGCGAAGAGGTGTAGGGCACAGGACAGAACCACATCATGGCGGCAGCCACACGACTCTATGAATACACTAAAAACCCCTCAATCACATACTTTCTTTCCTTTTTTAAAAAATTTTATCTTTATTTAAGCAATCTCTACACCCAATGCAGGGCTCAAACTCACAACCTTGAGATCAAGAGGTGCGTGCCCTACTGAGCCAGCCAGGTGCCCCCGAATCACATACTTTCAATAGGTGAATGGCATGTTAATTATATCTCAAAGAAGTTATTCTTAAAAATCTACATTAAGCTTTTGGCAGCCATTCACATTCTTCTCCTTACTCCTGGCAAATTCCCGTTCTTGGCAGATCATCAAGAATGATGATAGATCAGGAGAGAGCTAACAGCCAAGTAGCTGTTACTGTAAAAAAAATCTTTAGCTCCTCCTCAACATCAAATGACTTCGCGAACTGTAGGAAGTGCAAGGCACACGTACCTTCTTAGGCTCGGGCTCTGCCTCCGGTTCCTCCTGTGCCAATGTGGTCGTGGGGGCAGCGGGGGCCGCAGGGGTGATGGTTGCTGCGGCGGCTGCCGCCACGGCCTTTTCCTTCTTGTGTTTTTTGTGCTTCTTGTGCTTCTTATCCTTTTTGTGTTTCTTGTCCTTCTTTTTCTTCTTTTTCTTTCCACCTCCTTCTGGGTCTGAGTTCTAGAAATCCAGAAAAATCACAATAAAATCAATCAGACTAAAATGCTGTCCAACTAAACATTTTATTTTCGCAAGGGAATAACTGAACAGACAAATCTCAGTATTTCCTAAGGCTTCGGGGGAGAAAAAGGCCCAAGGGCAATCCCTGCCAAGAAAAGTATGTTGAGACGAAAACCACACTGCAAGCAAAGATGCTCTTCACAGATTCTAAGAGTCAGAATGGATTTTCCCCAACTAACGGCACATATAAGCCATGTTTCCCAACCACAAGCTGCCAGTTGGGTGGGTGTCCAGGATCCAGAGCCACCTCCAAACGTAAGGAAAGCAGCACGTGCAAAAGAAAGAAAAAATCTTTGAACTCAGCTAGGCCTGAGGTGAATTCTGGCTCCTGAACCCGTTCACCATGTGACCTCAGACGAATCGGTGGACTTCTTCTGAGCCCCCTTCTGTCAACCTAAATAAAATGGATACAGCAATCCCCGACAGAGCTGTTGTGAGAATTAAACCTATCTGTAAAGTCTATGTAAAGTCTACCTGTAAACCACCCACAATACTAGCCTAATAGGAAGCAGGCTTTCATTAAGTACAGCTATTACTCTAAACACATGCTTGTGTGAATGCCACATCTCCAGCCACTGTTCAGGACTTCTAGCTCTAGAATGGAGGGAGTTTGCTCCTTAATGTATAATACGGTTGACCCTTGAACAACGTGGGGCTTAGAGGCAACAAGTCCCCATGCAGTTGAAAATCTGCATGTAACTTTTGACTCTCCCCAAAATTAACTACTAACAGCCTACACTGACCAGAAGCCTTATGGGTAACATAGAAGTCAATGAACACAGATTTTGGAATGTTGTATATTTCTATACTATATTCTTACAATAAAGTGAGCTAAAGAAAAAATATGTTACTAAGCAAAGTATAAGGAGGAGAAAACACATTTAAAGTGTTGTGCTGTATTCATGAAAAGACCTCCACATCTACGTGGCCCTGCTCCATGCTGTTCAAGGGTCCGATTGTTTATACCAAAATTATGCAAAGGGCAAGTTCTGCTATAAGTGAATCCCAGCAATAATCCTCAAATTTCACATTTCAGATTTCTAAGCAGTTACTTAAAATTACTCAATCCATCGCTTCTCGGCCTTTCGCCTAAGATCAAGTGTAAAATTCCTCAATCCATTCAGTTAGTTTGTAAAATTTAGGCAAACCTACTATGAGATGCACACTAACCATTAACTTTATATAATAAAGAAACCTGTTCAAGATCAGATTAATGACTCACAGAGGGGAAAATACAGTTTAAAGTCCCAATACTTTAGTATCCTAATGACATTTAAACTTGACAAGGTAAAAACCAAGTGTTATTTATGCGGCTTGCCAGAGGTAAGACTATACGAGACAATACTGTACTTTCCACTACAGCTAGTATTTCACAGGGTGCAAGGTTCATTTATTACAGAAATAACGTATTTCTACCGTGGGGGAAAAAGGGCACTACACATAAAGAAAAATTAAAGATTACTCATCCTTTCCCCTTCTAACATATAACCAGTTAACATTTGGTACCTGCGTGTGGTATTTTTTTCCTTCATAAAAATGGAATCGTACTAACACACATGATCTAATTTTGAAAGTTTTATTTTGTGATCTCAAGTGTCCGCAAATGTGTCAAATGCTATAGAAAACAGCAGAAAATAGTAAGCTATTTTTCCCCTAGATAACAGAATCATGGGTAATTTTTTCTTTTCTGTTATTCTAGATTTTCTCTATAGGCCAATTTTAACCACCAAGATTACAGAATTTAACAATATTAGACATGATGTCAATTAGCGGGTGACTAGGATATGAAGCATGGACTGTAGTGCAACCACCACCCCTTAATTTCATGCTTCCTTGGGCACCTGGGTGGCTCAGTTGGTTAAGCGACTGCCTTCGGCTCAGATCATGATCCTGGAGTCCCGGGATCAGGTCCCACGTCGGGTTCCCACTTAGCAGGGAGTATGCTTCTCCCTCTGACCCTCCCAACTCTTGCGCTCTCTCTCAAATAAATAAAATCTTTAAAAAAAAATTCATGCTTCCTTGAAGGTCAGCTGAACTACAGAAAATAATGCTGTTCTTGAGCCACTTAAAAAGCAAAAACTTGTCTTTGCTTCCAAGTGACCGCATACAATTATAAAGGGTGTCCAAAACAGGGCAAACACATACATACCCTCGCTGGAGATGGGCTCGGGGTTGGGCTTTTAGCCTTTTTGACAGGTACCGCTGGTGACCAGTTGGTAGAGGGGGACTGGGACTGGACAGGAGACTGAGGTGCTGGGGGTTTTTTAGCTGCTGGCTCAGGAGATCCTGAGACAGATCGGGAGGACGAGACCCTCCTTATAGACTGAGGACTTGGTGAGGCAGCCCTAGAAACAAAGGGAAAGAACAAAACATTCAGTATCCAAGAGCAAAGGTCTTTTCTAAGAGAAAATAACCGACCACCATTATATAACCAGGTCACAAACTAAATATTTTACCACTTAGTGGATTCTACAAACACACACATATCAAATTTGTATCGTCTAAGTCTCCTGGAGAGTTTAACCCCATAATCCTCTATCTGTTCTGTTAACACTTCTTCCTATAGGAAATTAATAATACCAGTCCCTTGTACTTAAAACGGCTTTTCTCAGTCTTACATAGACATGCAGGAAATGTTCTATGCATTACTTCAGAGTTCAGTTTTGGAAGCACATCCCCCAATAAACCGGATACCCCTAAGAACAAGTATAAAGTCCTATGGCATTTAGTTTGTGGCATAAGGAACTATTCCGAGAACAGAAAATGGATCTGTGAATAGTACCTTTAAGCTGCCTTAAAAGCCTGTATTCCCAGCTTATTCTTTTCTGTAATTTCTCAGTAAAAGGGGGGGGGGGAAGCTTCCAAACATAAAGAACTATGCAAGTTAGTGTTCCTAGCCAAGAAAGCATAAAATATTTTTACTTTTTTGTCTTTTTGGGTTCCGGAGTCCTGGAGACTCTCCTAATGGGCCTAGTACTTGGAGAAGGGGACTGCCTTCTTTGGGGTGATGATGATGCTCCTCTTCGAACAGGTGGAGGACTTGAGGAGGTTTGAAGAGCTCGAGGCCGTGGTGAGGGCGAATGCCTTTTGTTTGGTTGTGGTGACCGGGGCTCCCGGGTAGACCGGCTCGGGGAAGACCCTTTCCTATGCTTTGATGATAATGAAGGCGAACGTCTCTTGGTGACTGGGGAGCTTCTTTGTTTGGGAGGTGGAGAATGGGAGACCCGACGCTTTGGTGGTGGAGATGGTGATGCCCTTCGTTTAGGAGGGGGAGGGGGAGAAGCCGTTCTTCTCTTTGGAGGTGGAGAAGGAGAGTATCTCCTCTGTATCGGAGGAGAATATCTTCTTGGGGAAGGTGAGCGCCGGCGGGGGGGAGGAGAAGGAGTCCTAGGAAAAATAAACCATTAAGCTGAAAGGTCCAAAAGAGTAAGGCAACAGAATACACAGAAAACTAACCAGAAGTTATGGCAATACTGCAGTTAAGCACCAGGCAAAGCCAGTACATTTTTAACTGGATATGCTATGCCTTTATCCTCATTTAAAAGAAAAAAAATCACTTAGTGGATCTGTTTACCCTAGATGATTAGAAAACAGGACATTCTACTTAATGGAGAAAAGTTTCCAGAATGAATTCAAGTTTGTCAAAAGTCATTTAACATAATCCACATGGAACCAATTTAATGGGTTTTTTTTTTTTGAGAAGAGAATCTTGCATAAATTGTGTACATCCATTATCATTATGTACAAGCTAGGTAGCTATATTAGCAGGACTCCACTATGGTCTAACTTAGAAAGTCTGTGCTTTAAAAAGCTCTCCTGGGGGGCAGCTGGGTGGCTTAGTCAGTTAAGTGTTCTGCCTTTGGCTCAGGTCATGATCTCACAGGATCCTGGGATCAAGCCCCGTGTGGGGACCCTGCTCAGCAGGGAGTCTGCTTCTTGCCCCCCCCCCCCCCCCGGCCCGCAACCTTGACATTCAAAAAAATCTCCAAAAAAAAAAAAAAAAGAGCTCTATGTGGTGCTCTCTTGACTGACATTTGGACTTGGTAAGAGTTCACTTGCACACGTTTTGAAAGATATCTCTACACCTACTCAACCCTTCCCTTCCAAGGAGAGACTTGGATTTTGTGTCTCAAAAAAAAAACAAACCACTTTTCAGTGGAAGTCTACCTACTAGGCAGAATGCATCCCTGTAGAAGTTCAAGCTGGCCTTCCACTTAATGCTTAAGTCCTATATAATCTTAACTGCCTCTTAGAAATTTGACTTGAATATGACATTCAGTTCCAACTGTTTAATTTGCTCCTGAAATGCTCAGACCTTAAGCTCAAAATATTATCCTGCCCAGAATCAGCTTTACAATAGGCTACTTTCTGGGCAAGGTAGTGTGCACCTCCATTTCCTCACCTGAAAAATGGGAATACCACCTACTGAGCAAGATCATCTCAAGGACTACAGATTAAATATATAAAGCACCTAGAGCACTTTACCTCACATATAGTAGGCATTCAATACCATTCTCCCCTTTTATTCTGAAATCACTTTCGATTCACAGAAGAGCTATAAAAATAGAGATTTGCCACTTAACAGCTCCCGATAGCATAACAAAAATGATCAACTAGCCACAGCACTAACTTAGTATTAACTAAATTACAACCCCGGTTTCCCACTAATGTCTCTTTTCCCCAAAATCACAATTCTACATTATATTTAGTTATCACGTGTCCTTAGTTCCTGTCAATATGTGACTATTCCTTTGTCTTTCATGATTGCCATTTTTATTTATCTTTAAGGTTTTATTTCAGAGAAAGAGTGTGCACAAGCACAAGGTGGGGGGACAGCAGAGGGAGAAGCAGACTCCATGCCAGGCAGGTATCCCAATGTGGGGCTCAATCCCAGGAGCAAAGGATCATGACCTGAGCCAAAGACAGATGCCCAACTGACTCAGCTGCCCAGGATTGCCATTTTTTAAAAAGTACTAGTTACCCTGTAGAATAACCTTCAATTTGGGTTTGTCTGATATTTCCTAGTAAATCAGACTGAGGTTCTGTATAATTGGTAAGGATACCAGGATAAGGTATCCGGGAATTATAGGATATGTACTACTATTACCTTGATTCCTTAGTTAAGAAGGTATGTGCTGGAATTCTCCACTGTAAAGTGAGTATTTTTCCCTTTGTAATCACTAGAGTGACTCCCCCTTTTAATTTAACATCTTTGTTGACATGTAATTCACATACCGTAATTTTAAAGGGTACATTTCAATGGTTTTAAGTATATTCAGTCGTGTAACCATTGCAACACTACCCATCCCCACCCTACCACAAATCTACTTTTATCTCTATAGATCTGGGTGTTTGGGACTTTTCTTATTAACAGAATCACATAATATGTGGTGTTCTGTAAATGGCTGAGCAATGCCACTCTAATAAGATATTCTGATCATAAAGTTGCTTCAATTAGGTCCCACTAACATATCTGATAAAATAAAATACCTTCGTCGTGGTGGCGGAGTGGGGGACCTGCGCCTACGAGGAGGAGGGGCAGGAGAAGGAGAACGTCGCCTTCTGGTAGGTGGTGGGGAGGGACTCCTCCTCCGTCTACCACTAAATCACCAAAAAGAAAAAAAAAAAATTACAGGTGACTTGGAGTTAGCATTTGTAATTAAGTGATCCAGATGACATAGTTTCAATCATCGTTAACCCGAAGTGCAACCAACTGTTCCCTCTATCCCTCAGTGCAATGTTTTTCAAACCACCTACCAAGACCATTAGTCAAGACTTTGAGAACCAGCATTTAGAAAATCAAAATATATTTACTTGTGGGAATGGTCAATTTTGTTTCGTAAAATTTTTGTTTCAGTATATAAATATGCAGAGTTTGGGTCATGATACAGAAATTCTTAGAATGACACAGGGTGAAGAAAGTTTGAAAACATTGCCTTATGACATTGTCTTTTAATTTGAATGCACATCACAATTACCTAGGAAGCTTATCTGAGTTTGTTTACCAGGTCCGGACTATGGTCTAGCTGGTGTATGCTGAAAAGGCTCTCCAGTGATTCTGATTCCTTATTAGGAACTGTTTTAAACTCAGAAAAATTTCCACGTCCTAATTCATAAATTTAAAATTTTCATAGTCACCAGAGGCTGAAGGCCCCAAATCTGGGTGTCACTGTTCCAAGTTCTCAATTTTTAAAAATGTTATTTCCACTATTCAAGAGTTGCTTACTACTAACTAAAAACACTAACCCAAAAACAAAAGATTAAAAGTTGAGCACTAAAGCTATGATTGGGAGCAACATGTTTGAAATACAGACAATTATACAAAACCCTAATTCTGAGCTGTTACACACTTAACCAACACAAATGCACACATGAAAAATTTATCAACTGGACTAACTCACAGCAGTCTCCCAAGAGATATATTAAAATATACACCAAACCAGTTTGCCACCTTTTGGCTAAGTTTGCATATACAAAATAATCACATGCTATATAGTTTTCAATTTCTTGGCCAGCATAGAATTGAAGCTTCCTATGAACCTGGAAATATTTTCTCAAGCTTACTAGTCTTTGATTCCCCCTTTAATACTAAGGAGAGCTCTGTTACTAATAGAACACAGAAAATCCTGAAATTCATTATTAAATTTAATTATTTTCATTATTTAATTTTCAATTCCAATTCGTTTATGCCTCGTGGGGACTAAGACTTCACTTGAACAGGTTTAAAATAATAAACTACAAGAGGCCATCTATGAAGACAGATAAGCTTTGGACGAAATGAAATGTAGACAGGAACTACTAACTGTAAGAAAATACAGTAAAGGAGAAACCATTTTATTAGCAGGGTATAATCTGAGAATTACAGGACCCAGAGACAGGATAACCACAGTATTGATTCAAGATTTCAAATAGGAAGACATTGGGGTTTTGACTTAAAAAGAAGCAAAAGGAGTTTATAGGTGCAAACTAAGAGGATGAAGTGATACAAAGCAGAACTCTCAATGTTATCAGTAAATACAATTGCATAAGAGGCTATTATTGTTGATTATGTGGCTTCTTTTTAAAAATATTCTCCCAATTTCAGTTTGTAAAATCTAATCAGTAACTAAAAAATTGGACTCAGATTAGAACCTATTATGATAGACTAATGACCTGAGATATTTTGTGCCTCATCTTCAATGGTAAAATGAAAGGCCAAAAGGTCCCTTGCAGTGAGGACCCTCAATGTCCTGCTATGTGAGAAAATGACCAAAAAGAGTAAGTAAAACCATAACCAAACTTGCATTAACTTAAGGAACTGCTAGAAAAATCTGATAATCACTTAAAACTGGAGTCTTGACACCACAAGGCTCCATGATCTGAAGGCTACAGAATTTCTGCCTGAGCTGAGAGGGCACACATTTCAAGGATTAAAACAAAAAACTAATCGTGATCAATCTATTTCAATATTTCCATGTGTTAAAAAAAAAAAAAAGTGACATAAAGCCCAGGTTCAATATATTTCTAAGAGGTCAAGTTTGTTCACTGTATTATTCAAAATTCTGAATGCTTAATGTATTTCATCTGCTTAATCTAACAACTGTTTTCTAGTTATTCTGAGTAATGCCAAGCTAAGCTTTCAACTGTGTAGAAATTGTTGAGTAATGAAGATCCCCTTCAAGTTGTGTGAGAACCGACTTCAGTAAGCCTCAATATGTGATGTAGCCCTCAAGTATGTAGAAACGCCAAGTTTTATCAGAAGGAGCCAGCTTGCTATCTCTGCAGCGACCTCTCCCAACAACCACTTCACTAGCAGAAGCTATAGATGTGACAACTATCTTTTGAATTTTTTTGTGATAACTTCCTTTTTACACTATGATCAATATGCCTTTTATCCTTTTAAGTTAAAGAGTGTTCAATACCCAAAGACAAGTAGTTCAAAGCATGGAAACTACTACCTGTTCAAAGTTTAAAGTTTACATATGAAGTAATCCAAACCAGGCTGTCCATCCCCTTTTAAAAATATAATACTGAAACAAGGTTCCAAAGAATTCTTTCTCCATCTCTAAATCCTTGACACCTGATAGCAATTTCTAACATCATTAAAACTGGAGGCCTTTTTAAAGAGGATAAACAAAAATACCCTGGAACAGGGTAGTGAACATCAGTGTTGATAAATCATTTCCAGTAAGAAAGTAGTTCCATAAGGGGAGGGTGTAGGAGGGGGAAGGAATCTTACCACTGACCTGATTTTGTAAAGCAACTTTTTAGCTGCTGTACTAGCAATTTTCCAGAAGTCAGGGATATTATAGCTGGAAACGGAATGACTTGGCATCTAAATTTATCTTTTTTTTAAAAAAAGGTTTTTATTGTCAAGTGTTCCACAACACAAATACACAACTTTGCTCCATCACAAACACTGCTGACTAGTTCCAAAGAATCTTTCCAACAGAACTCTTATTAATTAGCGAGACTACCTAAAACAACACAACTTCAAAAAGTGAGCTATAAAGAGGACAATATGATAGTTTCATGAAGGATAAATACTCAGAAATTTAGCAGCAGCTAAGACCCCAGCCCCCCAAAAAAAGGAAAAGACTAATGAAGACAATATAATGGTATAATGTCAACAGCACAGGTCTAAGATCAGGCTTTGTCCCTTTATACCCTGAGAGACTCATTTTACTACTTCTGAGCCTTTTTTCTCACTTATGAGATAGGCCTAAATTAGAGATTTCTACTTATGATTAAGCTCTAAAATGTTAGTTTTTATAGTCACAGACACTGATCAAAAAGGTTCAGTGAAGATATGCAACCTACCTTCCTACTGCAGAGGACACTGGCCAGAGCCTCATGTTCATCTTTAATCTTTTTTAAAGTCTTTCCCAAGTTTTTCTTCTTTCCTGAAAGCCACCACATAGGCCCTCCCCACTAAATCTAAGAAGCTATTATTCTATTGCTTGGAAAATATCCAGGTACTATAACTGAACAAAAATCTAAGCTCAAATGGTACTCTAAAATGAACACTGTGTACAAGTTCTGTCATTAATTTGATGTGCAAAGAAATATAATCAACTAGAACTCGGGAACTTCTCACAGCCATCCCCACTATATACACAGGGATGGGAGCAGGTTACCTAAATAGCAAATCACGTCACTACACTCTGACATGTAGCCTCATGTACAAAGTAGTGGCTAACCAACCTTTTAGTCACTGGCGATTGCCATCGCTTTCCCATTTGCATCCTGAGAGCAGTGGAAAAAAACAAAGGTCAGGAATTCCATTCACCAAAGTATTTACTTCAATGGAGTTAAGTGATTATCACTAATGGCGATGCAATTTTTTTCTTTTTGATGTTCAAAGATGTTCAGAAGTTAATGCTATGGTTTCACTGATCTAGTCATGCAGACATAAGACATGGTGGTACAAACAAAACTTACCAAGATCTCACTAATAGTGATAACCACCAAATAAAGCAAAGAAAATGTCCCCAAACCCCCAAATCTGACCATCTCCTTCTGTGTTTGAGTCCCTGAAATGAAGGGATTAACCAATTTCTAAAATAAGCCTGTAGCCCATCCCTTAAGTTAGAAGTTTCATCACAACTACAGAACACCAGTGAAGACTACTGAAAGAAAAGACTTTACCGAGGGGAAGTCTCTTTCTGGCGCTTTCGAGGTGATGGAGAGGCACTCCGGGAAGGGGAATGTCTCCGCCGCCTGCCTACCTCACCATTCTTCACATGGGACCTCTTGGGTCGCTCATCTTCTGAGGAAGAAGAGGAGCCAGAATCTATAATTACACAATAAACAAAAATTACATTACATCTGTGCTTAAAAGAGTCTACCCATATTTTCTGAATCTAAGCAGATGGGAGGGTCCAAATTAGCAAGTTAAGCCCACTGATGCAAGCAAGCATGTATACAAGCCATCATTTCTGAACAAATGTTATCATCAATACAGTCAATGACTTAAAAACCAAGCATAAATATACATCATTATTATGTAATTAAGTTACATAAATCATTCCCAAGGCACACTCCAATAGGATACAAGTGTCCCTTAAGAATCTAGTGATTTTCCAAATTAAGCGCAAAAAGCATCTCAAGCAAGTACTTGAGGCTTGTTACTCTAAGCACTTTTTTAAAACTACTGGAAGTCCTATTAGGGTCTGAATAACTTCTTCCCACATCCCTAGCATTTATCACACAAACAAAAAAAAGTATGTGACAAGCCTTTCCTACAGGCCTGGTAGCAAATGTCTGGGACTGCAAAAAGAAAAACTTCAATTGTTTGCACATGGTTCCCTTAACTTAAAATAACTAATAACTGTTCCCAAATATCAAAACAAAGTCCCAGGGCACCTGTGTGGCTTGGTCAGTTAAGTATCCGACTCTTAATTTCGACTGAGGTCATCATCTCAGTCTTGAGATCAAGCCCTGTGTCGGGCTCTGCCCTTGGAATGGAGCCTACTTAAAGAGTCTCTCCCTCTCCCCTCCCCCATGCTTTCTCTCTCCACCTCTCTTAAAAAAATAAATAAATAAAAGAAGAAACTAAAACAAAGTCCCAAGTACCAAAAACACCCAAGACGTATATGCATTTTTAAGCCTTCCTATGATTAGCTTCATGTTTAAAGAGCTGCAAAAGCTCGATGGGCTTAATGGACTTAATGCCGCTGTGGGGTGCTTTGATCTCTGTGTCGTAAATGAAAGCAAAGGCAGCACACCTAGACTCAGTCACAAATACCCAGAGCTAATGAAATTAATTATTAGTAATTAAATATTTATTATTTCACAGATATAAAGTACACAAAACCCAGAAACAACCTAAATGTCCAAGTAGGAGACTGGCTCAATAAATTACAGTATATTAATTATTACAATAAAAGGTTCTGGCTATTAAAAAAATTAGATCTAAGAACAGGGAAAGGTATCTAGATATAGTAAGTTAAAATGGGAGGCAACATAAAGTTTGAGCTTATGCAGGGTTTTTTTTTTTTCTTCCCCTTTTAAACCATAGATCCTTATACACGGCACAGAAAAATTCTGAAGAAAAGCTTCCAGGAGTAAGACTAGGAATTGGGAAAAGAATTATACTTCCAAATTTTATACCTGTTTTACTAGTGTACTGTAAAGATCTACTGTTTATAACTATTTAAAAGAAAATTAAGTTTTAAGGAAGGACTTAACACCAAAAACCGAAAGTAATACTTCCTCCCCTTGAACAGATTTCTATGCAGGCACATACTTCTCCTACGTAAGATCACTACAAGGATGGAGATTTGTATTTGGAGTATTTTTCATGAGGATATAGACAGAAAACAGTTGACTCCATATCCGTACCAGATGAGGACTGCTGGTTCTGTCGTCTGTACTGACGTCTCTGCTGCACAGAATCTGCCGCAGCCATTTTGCCACCTTTATCTTCTTCTGAAAGATGGATGCATTTAGAAAGTGTTTCTTTAGTTACGCATACAGAAAATGTAACATACTTGAATTGGAAAATGGTCTCTTAAACCTCTATCTCATTGGGTCAAGCAATACAACTATATATATATATTTTTTTCTTACAAAAAGCTTTAAAATGCCAATTTAAATGCGGATTTTAGACTATGTTCACCAAACGTAATCAAAATTTATTTACTATAGGTCAAGCTAAGTGCTAAGGACTTTATAGGCATTTTTTCAGTTAATCATAAAAAACCTAAAGGATGGTAACTGTTATCTGCATTTCAGATGAAAGAAGTGAAGGTCACATAAATGAAGTAATTAAACAAAAAGCAATTAAGTAGTGAAGGGGGGATTCAAACCAGGTTGGTCTCAACTTTAGAGCCGTAGCTCTTAACCACTAAGTCATATCCTACAATTATCTTTAACCAGAGGGGTTGACAAAACGTGCCAAAAAATCTAATCCAGCTTAACAAAAAAACACATGAAAACTTACCCGATTCAGATAACTCTACTTTTCTAGGCTTAGGTGCTGGTGAAGGGGACTCTCTTTTCTCAGTACCTTTATGTTTTGTCACTAAAAAGGAAAAAAAATACATACGTGGGAAAGCAAAACAACAAAGCCACACGTCTTAATGGTACAACAGCTGTCACTATCCTTATAAAGAATTTGATAATAAATAAATCAATAATTTAACAATAAATTAAATGTTGGGTGAAAGCCTTGAAAAGTGCTGTAATGATTTTTGAATCAGAAGATTCTTCTAAGAGAAATGCCAGTGGGAGTTGCTGTTTTGCAGCAGAAGCTCTGTGTAGAAGATATGTGTAACATTCAACTCAGTAAAGCTTTGGGCGCTATCCCACAACCTAAAAACACATACACCCAACTACCGAGGCATCATCAGCACAAGAATTTCCAAGCACCCAACTATACCTGGGTTCAGGAAAGTTATAAAACTGATAAATGGTTAAGAAATAGATCTGATGAGGGACGCCTGGGTGGCTCAGTCGCTTAAGCATCTGCCTTCGGCTCAGGCTATGATTCCGGGGTCCTGGGATAGAGTCCCGCATCAGGCTCCCTGCTCTGCCTCTGCCTCTCTCTCTCTCATATTCATGTATTTATATGAATAAATACATAACATCTTAAAAAAAAAAAAGAAAGAAAGAAAGAAATAGATCTGATGAAATCTGCGAGAAAGAGATTTGTTTTGGAGCAGAGGAATGGGCCACCAAGAGACTAAAGATTCTTTATGTACCAGTACAACCTTCATAATAACGAGAGATTTAAACTACCCATAAAAAAGTAAATCCTCATAATAGGAAAAATAAATACTAAGGCTTAAGGGGGGGAGGGGCAGAAGCTCTGAAGTACACCTAAGGTAGTAGGAGAGCTCTGAGCACCTTCTGAATTATCCAACTTCTCTTTTCCAAGTTGCATGGAAAATTATGGCAACTGCCTTTTGTATGCTTGCTGTATTATTAAGCAGTGCTAAGCACTGTCGCTAGTATTAACCCCCATTTTACAGGAGAAGAAATCTGAGGCTTAAAAAGAAGTAACTTCAACTAAAGTCACATAGATAATTAAAGTGACTAGGATCTGAACCCAAGACTATTTCTAGAGCACAGGTTTAATTTCCACCAATTAACCAGCTCAATTTATAATATCCATCCAGTGCTTCAACTAAAATCAGAAGTATATACAGATATAACCATCGGTCTTACCACAGATTAACCTGAAACATCATTTGAGACCATGCTGCTAAGAACTCAATTTGAAGACAGTATGATCCCCTGAGGATCCTTATTTATCTTTTTTGTTTGATTAAAGCAATTACCATGGGGTGTTGACCCAGAATGTAGATACATTTCTTTTAACACGCTCAGAATTCTGTAAAGCCTTATTCTAAAGGGCAGTAACTAAGACAGCTAGTGATCTAAAACAAAAATCTCATCTTTGCTAAAGTAGTCAAACTGAAGAATTTACAATACCTTTTTTATTTTTTTAAGATTTATTTGAAAGAGAGTGAATGAGAGCAAGCAAGGAGGGGTGGAGCAGAGGGAGAGAGAATCACAAGCAGACAGAGCCCAATGTAGGGCTTGATCTCACAACCCTGAGATCATGACCTGAGCCAAAATCAAGAGTCGGGTGCTTAAATGACTGAGCCACCCAGATGCACCCCTCCCCTTTTTTAAACCATGATACTTTTTAAATGACCTGCATTTTATTAATGATTCTACCTAATAAGTAAGCGTTTTCAACAAAGCACTGGATTCGGTAAAAACAGTTAAAACCTAATTAGTTATTGTGAAACATGGCAGCAAAAGTGCATTTAAAACTTGTATTTTAACAAATTCAAAAATAAAATACAAATGCTTTTAAACTTTCAAGGATTTGAGGCTATTTTTCTGGATCAGTATTCTCCACTGTAAAGTGTCAGTTAGTCTTCAATTCTTGACATTTATTAGAGGCATCCAGTTATCTATAAACCCCACATGTCCAAGTTACCACGTAAGAGAACTGGGTTCCAAAATTTGTGTTTGGAAGCAAACTGAACGTCAGAATGAATTTTCCTCAAAGACACATTAAAAATTTGGCTATGTCTGCAAGACAGTTGACAAATGCCAACTGAATAAACACAACTGAACTAGAATATACACATTTTTCCCCCACAGAAATACATAATTGCAATTTTATCTTGATCCAATTTCTCATGAATGGCTTAGCTAAAGTCTACTGTCAAAATATTCATACCATTAAAACAAGTATTATATACCCCTATGCTGGTTTAAATATGATTGACTGAATTGTAGTATTAACAGAGTTAATGTTTCATCCGGATGTGTTTATCTAGATGAGATTTTATAATTTGTTATGTTAATGTTTTATTTTTAGTATTCAAGGGGCAAAATGATTCTAGCATAAAGTCAGAAATCTTCTAAGTCAAATGAAAAACCAAAATTTTAAATTTACTTCAGTAGTCCTATTATTAATCTCCCAGACTTGTCTAAACGATCCTGTGTAAAGTCAAGTCACTGTTACCAAAATTGGTGAAATAATCATTGTCTACAGAATACAATTTATAGGGTTAAACCGATCTCATCCTAAAATTACAATATAGATCCTCTGTAAACATACTTCATTAAATATCCCACTGACTTTTTTTTAAGATTTTATTTATTTATTTGAGAGAGAGAGAATGAGAGAGAGCACGAGAGGGAAGGAGGGTCAGAGGGAGAAGCAGACTCCCCGCCGAGCAGGGAGCCCAATGTGGGACTCGATCCCAGGACTCCAGGATCATGACCTGAGCCGAAGGCAGTCGCTCAACCAACTGAGCCACCCAGGCGCCCTATCCCACTGATTTCAAAGCACTACTTTATGTACTAAGATAATGCCAATTTAACTGACACACCACTGATTACAAAATGCTTCCTGAGGGCGCCTGGGTGGCTCAGTTGGTTGAGCGACTGCCTTCGGCTCAGGTCATGATCCTGGAGTCCTGGGATCGAGTCCCACATCGGGCTCC